GCACTTGTTACTACTAGCTTCTTGTTACTAGTAGTAAGGCACTTGTTTCTAATAGCTTTTTGTTACTACTAGTAAGGCACTTGTTACTACTAGCGTGGCACTTGTTACTACTAGCATGGGTTACAATTAATATCATGGAGAGGGCAATTTCTGTGCGATCTGTTTACAGTTTCACCAGCCGGGAAAATCACTCATCGCCGTCCAGGCGGCTTCTGGCGTTCTTGTTGGTGCCAGAAGCCATCCACAACACAACAGCTACTTCTTCTCATATCGGTATGACTGCCTTGATGACTGCTCCTGACTGCCCCTGATTGCTGAATGAGGCTTAGAGTGGAGTACAATCTGCGAAGAAGAGTTCAAAGGTCGGAGGCTCCAGCTCTATTCGGATCCAAAGCTTTTGGAAGAGGTCGAAGACATCAAAAAGGCCCTCCGATCTGTCTGAAGGACACCGACTCCACATGAACTCACAGGTCATCCAACTGGCTATTGAGAGTTCACCAAATGGTACAACAGTTTAACATCACCACGTCTTCCATGACAAGAAGTTCAACTTTCGGTGTTTCAGCGGAGATTTCGTCCAAGCAAGGAGTGATTTCGCTCACCCGCACTATGCATACAAAATGCGCCGGCGACCCGTAGGCGGCTCAGTACATGTATTGGGGCACATAGAGCCGAAAAGGTTCCTGAAGCGTCTTACATGATCTGCCGTCTGTTGGACCGGAACCTTTTTTGGGGGAAGATGATGGAAGATTGCCAAAGACTGGATCATGAGTTGTTCTGAACTGATGGTCTTGGATCATAGACTAATTATATAATTATTGGTCTCATACGTTAAGTTATAAACGTTTAGATAATCATCATCATGGATCAATGTGGATATACCACTCATGAAGGCAGTTCGTAACTCCAGAAGGGACAATCTTCAGTCTTGCCTATTTTTCCAAAGATAATATATTATATAGTAACTCTTTAAGGCACTATTCAACCTGACTCCCACGCCATTTCCCCGGAAAATGAAGGTGAACCTTGATGGCTTTTAGCAGAGTGTCTCCAATCCACCCAAAAACATTAAAACTTGTCCGCTCTAACGAACTTGGGCAGAAAGGATTGTTCACATGCTTCCTGAACCAGGACTTCTCAGAGAGGTTCTTAGCAGTTGTGTGTGAAAAGGAGCTGTTTTTCTTCCCTATCTGAGGCCCTACTAGACTTTCAACTGGCAAACATACTCACGATTGAAAGACCCTGGATAATCCAACTGGTGGAGGATATTCAGCATATGATGAAAACTTTCATGAACAAAAACACCACCGTTACACAATGCAACACATGTTTCCAGTCCCCAAACCTTCACCTACCCCACCCAAAGCAATGACAAAAACTGCCACCACATGCCAGCGGTCTCCATCGCCCACATCGCCCGGGTCTCTTCACGCCACGGTAGTGGTGCACGTTCTGCGACGCGCAAAAAAGGAAAATATCATGCAGTCCCACGCCAAATGCCTTGTTGCAGTTTGTTGCAGTCCCCAAAAATGCCCGGTTTTCACGCGTCCAACACCTTGGGTTGTCCGACCAGATGTTTTCTCACCAAGGGACCACTTTCACGCGGAAGGTCTCCCCGCTGGGCTGCTTGCGCGTGCCGGGGACAAAGGTCATGGCACCCCCGAAACGGCCCCGCATGGCGCCATTTCGTCCGGAGCCTGGGAGGGAGCCAGGCATGACAGCCGGAGGCGGCGGTTTGCGGCGAAGAAGCCGTGGTTTTGTGTTGTTCGTTTTTTCCAGTGGAGTAGGTGGATTTTGGAGGAAACGAATCTATTTATAAGCTCAGATTATCAAGTTGTTTGTATAGTCCAATTCTGTTCAGCAGCTGTAGAATAATTGGTTTCCTGCAGTTGGCCAGGAACATGTCATAGAACCCAAACCATGCACGGAATAGTTGCATACCCCATTTATGACCCCAATATACCCCAATGTATAGGTGACTGTTCCAGTCCCATGGATGGTCTGGGGAATGTCATAATTCGACTAAAATGTGCTTTGATTCCTGTAGTTTGGGGCTGAGGGCAGCTGCACGGGCATGCAAATTCTAGCATCATGATCCTGAAGCTTAGGGCTTCTGGATGCTGATCCGATATGGAATCAGAGACGACACATTCGGCCTGGTATAGTGGGACAAAGAGCACCTCCAAAGGGCCATGTTGACTAACCCCCTCCATGTGGAGATATATGTTGAGATGCTGGGGGGGGGGTTATTCAGCCACATTTCATTATCTCATTGATTGCATGAAAAGAATGCTTCTTAGTTCCCATGACCCTCGGTTTGTTCCATCCCAAAAGCTACGTCGGGCCATGGGGGGGGTCCTATCCGTGACCGGCTCGACCGGCTCGACAGTGTCCGCCACTGCCATGACATGGCCGACAACAGGTGCATCAAACAGCTACGAGTGCTGCCTGGATCCTGATGTCGAAGGAACAGTCCAAGATTTGCCAAGCTTTCGGACCAGATGGCAGGCGCACGCTCAAGCCGCTTGGCTTCCCGCTTACCCCAAACCCTTGTCGTCCAAATTTGTTTCTCGAAATGCTCCCTCTGGCAAACTCTGGCCCTGTACCGCCGGTACCCCTAGAGAAGGCCATAGTGAGATGCTCATTCCCGCCAATGGCACTGTCCAGTTTCTTTGATTCACAGCATGGAAGTCCACACCCAAATTCACCAAGGTCTCATCCGACTGCAAACAGCTCCTGCTTCATCCAAGCCACAGCTCTGGTATCGGAAGGCGCCTTCTGCACGGCCATGACTGGGGTACTGCCCATGGGGATCGCTTTCGCGATTCCGCAGCCAGCCGCCCTCCACGAGGATGGGGAAGAGGCCAATCCTCAGACACCGTGACCCTCAAGGCTTAGGCAACGCATTCGGAAAATGGGGAAATCTCTGAGATGGGAGATGGGATGGTATACAACCCCCCCCATACACTATATACTTACTGCTATACCAAAACAGCATGATGATAGGTGATTTCTCCCTCATTTCCGACAAAATCGTCGCACCAGTGTGGCTGCTCAACCATTCGACCCCGTTCTCGTCTATCTTCTTTTTGTTTTTGGTGTGTTGCGGAAAAGTATGATGTGATATGACGTGTCATGATGTGTCAATAAACATGTTGCTTAATGTGATGTTTGCTCTAACATAAACGATGACATGTTAAATATTAGCATGTTAAAGCATACTTTGCAAACAACCCCCGCGCCGAACACTGCGCCCATCCAAGCTACACTCCGTCGCCGTCCACGCGTTCACACTCGTGGCGGCCTTCCTCCTCGATCTCCCAATGCCGCGAGACCAACCTGCAGTTCCGCGGAGTGTTCCGACGATCAACCGAATCGGGAAATGGGAGAGGGCGCAGGGACAACAAAACGCCATATGCTCAATTTCTGCTAAAATTTCGAGCCTGGTATGCCTGGTTTCTCTTACTGAGTCTTACTGGACACTTGCAACATGCCAATAATGATAATCATATCGTGTATGGGGGGCAAACAAAACACGGGAGTGTTTGTTGTGAACAAGTCCCACAGCTTCTGGGCGACTTTCAGGTGCTGGATGAGTTCGCTGGCTGGCTACTGGTGGCAGCCTGGCCTTTTGGGCATAAAAAAGAATCACCCAGACGCTCATGGGCTCTCATATGGAAGGGTCGGACCCTCATATGGAGGGGTCTGGGGTCTCAAATCCCTAGGTTTTGAGGGACCAAGGGCTGTTTGGAGCGTCTGGGCACATGAACACTTCAGAGGTTCTTCAGCGGCTAAAGCCGGCAGCTGACGACTTGGCTTTTTGGAAGGCTCTTCGCTCTTTGACGGCCCGGACGGCGGACGGATGTCGTTGATGTAGAACATCAAAGTTAACCGCAGTTCATGTAGAACCAGTTGTATGTTAAACGCACTTAAGCGCAGTACCGCTTGTTATCTCGTACCATTCCTACTAAATGGAGTGTTGATGTCACCGCCAACACCATGATGGAAATGCCCTACACGCATGTTAAATCCCCAAAACCGTGCGTTCTTCTTGGTACAACAAAAGGTACAACAAAAACCGCCCCTTTTTAAACCGGCTCTTTCTCGTAGCGTGCGGCTGGCATTGCTCAAAGCCCCGTTCTTCCTTGGTGCCCACCAGGCGTATCGCAATGCTGTAGGTCCAACCTGCCGATCAGGTCAAGGTGAAGAAACTCTTGTTGCTGATGTTGACAAAGGCTGGAATCATGGGATATGGTGGGATGGTAAAATTGTAATGGAATGGTAAGCCATTGGACCCAAACGGTCTGTCTTGTTTAGCAAAATCCATTCAAACTTAGTTCATTGCCAGCACGCAAGCACAAGCACCTTCTCCTAGCCCTCTGGCAGCACCCCCCAGAGCCAAGAGAAACACAAACCAGTTTCTGCAAGGGAAACCCAGGCAGCTACCGGCTACCCTTCATTCGGCCATATGACATGCTAGCAAGATGTACCTGGAAAACAAACAAAACACAGCCCAAACAACGGACGTCCCCAGCTGCCGCATCGACCCGGCTGGTCTGGGCGACGTGGAACACGTTCGGCGCCGCGTTCGGCGCCACGCGCCTGCTTGATGCTCGGGCATGTAGATGCAGCTCGCTCGAACTTCCACTCCACGAGTCACACAAACCTGATCTCTGGTGAAAAAAGGCAGAGGTTTGGGGGCCGCGATCGTGTTGCACAGTGAGGATGAACGAAGAAACCGGTTGTTTTCATGGACAAAAGGTAGGTGGAGTTACAGTATAATACAACATTCTTCCAACTATGCAAGCATGTCCACGGTTTGCCAGCTTCTATAAATGAAAAGGTATGAATTTGCACAGTTGGAAGATCTGTGTATTCCTCATGAATCAACTCTTCCAAGAGATCGCAAATCAACCATTCACCCCAGCACCTGCGACCACCCCTGGCCAATTTTTGCTCATTCCTTTAAATGATTCATCTGGGGATGGGCCAGAACCTCCCAAATAAGTGAACCGGTGCCATTAAGTGCCCTGACCCACAGCATCTTCAGTCGAAGGTGCTGTGAGCTCCGGTGGCGCGTTGGGGAACAGAGAGATGCCCATCTGCAATGGAGCTTCCTGCGATGCCACAAAAGCACTGCTTCCAAACTGCTCTTCTCTCAGCTCAACTCTGGCCAAGGCAGGTAAATAGATGTAAATAGGCGGTCATGCATGATGTCTGGGCATGTTTGAGTGTGGAGTTTGGGCGCACACGTCGCGCAATATACCACTTAATTTTGAGCGGAGACCAGTCGAAAACAACATTGCCAGCTATTGCAGGAGAGGTGGTATTGGTGAAAGCTGTCTTTAAGTCAACCACATTGGGAACACATGGTTTTGCGATGTTTTGCGCTGAGCACCCATGGAAGGAACCCCCGGTCTATGATTTCCTTGTAATCCAGTGCCATATCCTCGCTCACTCATGAACCGTGGGTGCTTTTGCTGTAAGCTACATGGCTACAGCTTCAGGTTTGTAGCGGCCTCATAGCATCCCATAGACTTCAAAGGACGTCGGACTGGGGCGTGGACTGACTGGATGTCAGAATTCTGTTGCTGCTACAGCAGCCCAGCATCACTTGTCTCCAATTTTATTCATAATAATACCGCCATATACAGGTAATCAAATCAACAGAAACTGTAAAAACTCTTGTGTGTTACTACTTTCTCAATCTTTGTCCCATCAATTCTGTGTACTTTCCTCCACACACACTGGAGTTGCAGCGACCCAACGTTTTGCCCTCCGTTTGACACTCCTCAGGTCTGAGATAGTCCATGGTGTAGAAGTTGCTCTGCAAACGTCGACCATATTCTTCAAACCACCTGGGGGCTGTCCGTGGCATCGCCCTGAAGGGCTAAACAAAGTCGAGTTCCTTTTGTTTCGGCCATGGCTTCCGAAACGTCCAAACCAAACGGATTGTCCAAAAACACCTCCGTTGCTCGGGACTGAAAGCAACGAAGAAAATACATGCACTTTCATGTAAAAGGTAGCTGCTCGAAGCCAGTGCTCCATTTTCGAGGAAAGGCCAGTCCCCCACTCAAAGCCAGTCCTCCACTCCTAAATGCCACTCTACCCCCTTCGAATGCACATCAATGTACAGTCAACATCCAAGTTAGGTTTTTTTGGGGCTTTGTTAGGCTTTGTTGGCCTCAAATCGAATTGACACTAAGGAAATCTGGTGGGGTATGCCTAATCCCCCCCCAAAAAAAATAGAAGACATACAATAAAATGGTTGCTGAGTATGTTCGGTCGGGGGCGGAAGTGAGCGTTCGCCCACATCCGACTCCCATGCTCAGCGAAATCGTTTTGGTACATCGTTGTGATTTGACATTTACAAACCCGTCTCAGAGCTGTTTGGAACAACATGTTTCTGAAAGAGCTGTCGGCCATAAAGGAGGCACACGTACTACCACGTGGGTGCAGTGTATATATTTGTTGAAATCAACATGTTTTTTTTTTCAACACAAGTCTTTTTTAATATGTGATCCTTCTCTGGTTTGTATCTTGATAATTGACTGTGAAATTTGTTCATTGGAAGCTTTGCTGCCTGAGAGTGAGTGTGAGAGTGAGTAAGAGAGAGAGAGAGAGAGTGAGACACAGAGAGAGAGAGAGAGAGAGCTAACCATGTTCTTAAGTCTTCCTGCAAGAAGGTGCCTTCACGCCCAAATGGAAGCCCCAACCAACTTCCATGTTGTGATGACAACCAGCAACATGCTTGAAGAAGTGCCAGTCATCCTGGGAACAAAGCATCACTGTACCTGAAGGACACCCCCTTAGCGAAGCACCATGGCTTGTGACTGTATAGGAAGTCACGAAGTCCCTTCTTCAGACGAAGTCTGCAGAGTCGAAGGAACTCAGGCATGATCTCCTGTTCATGAACATCAGCAAAGTTGCCAGGCCGCCAGTTCTAGGTTACAGTCCCAACAAGTGCATTATATATTAATAGACTCTAATAGACCCAAGGTTTACCTCCAGTCTCACCTAAAGATTCTCTCGGGTTTTAGATCCTTCAGGATCCTTAACAGGTATATCAAACCAGGACCCCATAGGACCCCCCAGGACTCCATGCCTCACGAAGCCATCGGTGGTCGCCCCGCTGTCGGGCACCGCCAGCTCCAAGGCCGCGAAGCGCTTCCGCGTGAAGACGTAGACGCGGCCGTCGCGCCTCGACGCGGAGTGCTCCGCGGCCGGAGAAAGGTGGAGTGGAAGACATGTCTTCGAACTGGAGACAAAGGGCATCGATACTATAGTAACAAGGGCATTACTACTAGTAGCTTCGAGCTACCAATAGTGATGCCCTTTGTTAGAGAGACTTAAGTCTGAAGAGATCTGAACATACATTTCAGCTGGCCTCCCACCTACTAGCGATGGCCTCCAACCTACTAAAACCAAGATGATCCTGAAAAAATCGGACAAAGGTGTATTTGGGATTTCGTGAGGGATGGATGAAGGAACATGAGTCTGTGCACATGAAGTCGCCATAGACATCTTTGGGCCTCTGAACATATTTGGAACGATTTGGGAGTTGAAATCCTGGGAGATAGACGAAGACACGCTATAGATCAGGGAGTCCCACTTGAAAGGGCCAAAGCTTTGGTTTGCGGGTTCTGGTACCCTACCCAGAACGTCCAATAATTCATGAACTATCCAACCTGGAAGTCAATCCATCCACCACTACCAGTTCGGGGTGGTTCATGAGTCACTTGGACTGGGTGAATGGGTTAATGGGATAATCTAGCCATGGGATACGATCGGTGAACATCCATGATTGTTCAAGCCAAACGATCTTAAGGGCATCACTTTGTTGTCGTAGGGCACCACTTTAACGATGTCAATGTTCAGTTCATGATCTTAAGAAAGTGATGCCTTGTCATGATCAACACCAGCTTATGATAGAGTGGATTGAGAGTAGATGGCACAAATCCCCCGAGTTCGGTGGTGCAATTAGGGATCCCCCCCCATCTTTCTAAGACATCTTGGGGTGCCATCTAATTACTCAACCTACTCTGAAACCACATAATTATGGCACTCTTCCCTCTGCCTTCACTCTTCCGATCTCTTCAAATCTCTTCCCTCTTCCACGAGTTGAGTGGCACATCGACGAAGAAGACTTTCACGGCGTTGAAGGACATCGCGAAGACGACCTTGTTCGCCAGCACGTTCTCCTGCAAAGCAAAATGGCCCAGTCCAACACACCTTCGTTGAATTCGTCGAACCGTCCTGGAGTGAAAAAAAAAAGTCCGAAATCCTGAAGCTGACAAAAGTCAGAGAGAAGTGGAACATAAGGTTGACAGCTTAAGAATCGACAAGCGTCCAAACTTACTTGTCACAGGAAAAGCAAACAATACAAATCCCTCAGTCTGTTTTGAGCTGCACCTCCATTGAACCTCTTGGCCATGCCCAACTTCGAGTGCCTCCTTTCCCAATTATTTGATCACATTTGATCGCTTGGATTTGCTTGAGGACTCGCAAGGAATCCCGCCCAACACAAAGATTAATGCTAAACATTAGCATTTGACTCGACCCACCAGGCACCCCCCCAAAAAACCACCCTACGTAGACCAAGTTGGCTATTGAAGCTTCTCCGACCCTTCCACCTGGAACCCTTCCAAAAAACAACCGACCCTTTCAAATGCACAGCCCCCACGCCCATCGCGCAGCGCGACCGCACACCCCGCGAACCCGCACTCCGTGAGATCGGGGATGCGATCCCGGAGCATCTGGCAAAAGTGCTGGGTGATGTTCATGGCCTGAAAAACCAGCCGGACACAAAGCCAGTAGGTTGGCGAGGGCTGAATGTTCGATGGATCAATGGGGCTATATAATATAGGGCCGAACTACCAAAAAACACCCGCGGGCGTTCAGTGGGTCGAAGGTGAGGATTTTTTTTTGGAAAAGGGAGATCGAAATGAAATGGGCACATGTTACATGATGGTTTGATGATGATTTGATGACATGACTTTGGGTTTAGAAGAGATGGGAATTCTATGGAATTTGTGGAGGGGATAGTTTCTATAGACGCCTATACCTATACCATGCATATCTACCAGCTTTCTCAAACAGGTCTGTTGTGAACAAAAAAGTCTGCCCGGCGTCCAAAAGTTGCTGAAATTCATGAAAGCTCCTATACCTACTTGCCACCTTTTGGCTGGTTATAGATGACAAGTCATACATTGTGCACAGTTGAAAGATCCAGGTATAACAATTGTGTCGGTCTGGTGGACGGAGTCGCGCTCATGAGCCACCGGTTTCAAGGGGACGCTGATACACTGTGAGTGAGGAGTTTCGACCCAGCAGTGCTTGGAGGAAAGAAATCAGGCGGACGCCAAGTTCGCAACTATAGTAACAAGGGTGTTACAAGTAGCGATGCACTTGCTACTAGCGATGCCCTTATAGATCCCAGGGTTCGCAAACCTTTCCTCAGTCGGTGTCCCTTTGTTTCTTTACGCGTTGCAAATGGTTCAGTGGCTGTGAGGCTGAGTCGGACACCGGCAACTGGGCTCCTCACCGCATCCAGGGGTAAGAAGACTGTGCAGACTTCATGGTCCTCAGCGAAACGGAGGCCACTGAGGCGAAAGACAGGTCCTTTTAACTCGTTGGAATCATCATGGTTACTTGGAGTGAGTTAAAAGCTGCTTGGTATGAGGAAGACAAATGGTCGTCCGAACATCGGGGCCATGCCATCCACTTCCATGATTCCACAAAGTGTACAAAAGAGATCCAAGCACAGAACAAACACCCAGACTGACTGGACTGGGATTTGGGTTTCGATCCTTTCTCGGAGGCTCGCACCTCGCTTGCGGAGTCAATGTTTGAATGCTGGCCACTCTTGGAAGAGGCCTTCGTCCCAAAAACGGCCAGCGGGACTCGGAGCGCCGTCCAAGACGTGATCTTTTCTTCATGTTCGGCCTGAAGCGATTGTGAGTTCCTGGACTCCGCTACATCACTCAAAAGCTCCACAGCCACAGAAAGTCGGGAATTTGGATTGGACACGCCTCTTCAGAACCAGCTGCTTACCCATATCCAAACGTATGCATCAAACGCAGCCCAAATGGCATAGGTCTGATAACCTCCAAAAAGACCATGAGACCACTGGTCGCCTCACGTGGGCTTCTTGGCGGTCAGAGTCTTGAGATTGATGACTGATGTTGACAAAACCCACATCCAAAGTCATGTGGAACATGGGCAGTTCTTGTTTTGTTTGTGTTTTCAGAGTTTGATGCCATTGAATCCCAGGTGGTATGGATCGTATTGTGAAAGGAGTAGTTACAACAATATTGACCTATATACTTTGAAATAGTCCGAAATCAAGGACATCGGCTGAGCATGAAGGAGTCCGGTACCGCAAGGCTCAACAAGACCCTTGTGGGTGAACATAGGTTGAGAGACCTTGGACCTGGGATTGGCAACAAAAGAGCTGTTCAACCTCTCTAGGTACCCTTGATGTATTTCTATTATATTGCGTGATGAATAAAAATGCATGTGGCCGATGTGTTGCATGAATTGCAAAAAAACTCCCTGCGTCCTTACGATGAAGGACCCATGGTGGGGTGAGCAAAGCAAATTGGCCCAAGGCGAAGCAGTCACCAGCGGTCACTTCAACATGTCTGTCTGAGATCGTCTGAGCAATGAATCCAACCATAACTGGCATCTTGATGCATCTTGCTATTTGATGTCCTTTGGTGCAAAAAAAGACTCAAACTGGAAAAAAAACACGTCCGGACGTGGAACAGGATCAGTTGTAGATGGACATCATCTTCAAGGAGCCGCAGTCTAACCCAACCTTGTTCAACAAAGAAAATGCACTAGGCAAACATAGAAACTTAATGACACTGATACCCTATTCCAGGTGCAAGAAACCCGAAACTCTTCCTGGCCGCCGCCACTGGCAGTTTCCACCTTTTTCCAACAACCTGCATCTGTCTACTAAATCCTTCAATTCCAGCTGAGGTCACTCTTTTTCGCCTTACAAATCCTTTAAAGAAACTTGAGAAGGGGGCCCGAGACGAAACAAATAGACCAGAAGCAAGAGAAAAGCCGTCAAGAGTCAAGACTCAACATCGAGCACCCGAACTTGTTCCTGAGTGATACGTATGCCCAGACTCAACGAGACTCAACAAGAAGCACGCCGATGTAATAAAACCGATATAACCTCCATCAAACGCCCAGACTCAAGCCCAGACTCAACAAGAAAATGACTCCCCAAAAATAATCACCGATGCCTAACACGGTTTCACCGACGAGTTTCTTTTTCACCGATCCGTTCATCGAGAGCGCTCGGCCCGGATGAATCCGCGCGCGAACACATCGGCTCCTTCTCCGAGAGCGTTCACGGTCCGCGCCATCGAGGCCACCTGGAGGGACTGGGACGGACCGGGAACAAAAACAAATACAGCAAACAAACACCGAACAAAGAAACATATGAGGAACACATTAGTGATTATGCATGTATATGTCAAAAGAATAATTATGGATTAAATATGGAAGAAGATTGTAAATGACCAAGCACGACCCATGTAACCCACAAAACATCTGGCAAATGACCCATTGTAAGTCACCAATAGACCCTGTGCAAGTCAGGGAAATGACCCTGTCTCTGCTAATTATGGAATCATGTCATACACGGTGTGGGTCTGTTTGCTCCACTATGAGAGTATTTGACTCGGAGCACGTCCGATTTCGGAGCACGCTATTTCGGAGCCGCCGGAGACTGGGAGAGTCAGCTTCAAGTGCTTGGTGGATGGACCATATGCCACTACATATGCTCTGTATACCAGTAGACAACGTCAATGCCAAATGCTCCCGCATAGTGTTTGCAGTACCCGCGGCTCTTCTACTCGTCAAGGAGTTGGCTCATTGTGGCAGGCCCTTCTTGCTGCCCTTCTGATCACAAACAAAGAGACGATGCCCCTGTACCAAGATCCATGAAGATACAGTACTATCTGCGTTCATAATGCCAACATCCTGAAAGAGCTGGCAAAGGTTTGTCACTGCTCTTGAAACGACGGCTTCTGTACACAAATTTAAGCTTCAGGTACAGCTTTCTCTTTGACAGTCACTGTGTCACTGTGTCAAGCCACTCCTCTTTGCTAGTTCTGTGCACCCAAGCCTCGACGCCTGACGTGGCATGCCGTGCAGCACGGATTATTTTAATATAGTGCTCCAATTGTGGATGGTCGGTGTCTTATCCGCCAGCCTCATCCACGAAGGCCTTTGATCAGAGTCAATTGGCGTTGGAATTTCTTGGCCAACACAGGCTGTGCGACTGCCACCCAGGTGGCTTCAGTCTACTGCCATGCAAATGCATGATCAAGTGATCCTTCTCAGCAACGAAGTCTACACTTCGTCTCGCCTTCTGTTCCATAGAGCCAGAATCATGTGACTCTTTAAAGTTGCGGTCATGTCAATCTAAAGAGTATTGCCCCATCCATGGGACTGGAATATACAATTGATGTATTCCATTTGTGACCCTAATGTTATACTAACTATTCACATGGATGGTTTGGGTGTGGTCAGTCTGTGTGAACCATAAATTCATGCCTCATGCAAAGTAGAATTCAGATTCTTTCTCGAGAAGACTACACACTCAGCTTTCTCAACAAATTCAGCCAGTGGTCAGTGATGCCTCATCTACTCATTCCATCTCATTCCCCAATTCTTGGTCCACAAAACACCAAACACCTGATCTGGTTCAGTCCGCCGCAGCTCCTTCGCTCCTTCGAGTCCATCCCGTGACTCGGGGCGTCCGCCGTGCTCCGCCTGGGGGTCCAGGGGTACATCTTGACCATCCACCATTCGCCAGCAGTTCATCACCTGAATGTGGAGAGATGTACCTCATGAGGGATGTACCTGATACCCGAAACGATCTGCACCTGCAACTTTCTTATGTGTTTTTATCTTTTCCTAAAGATCGTGGATCGCCACTATGCAGGTGGTACTTTCTCCTACTTGTGACCCGTAAATCTTTCGCAACATCTTCGCAGAAAAGGACGTGGTCTTTTCTCGTCTGCAACTCCACTTGTCCGAATCCGACTCCAACCACCAAGTCTGACCCTAGTCACTAGTCACAAGACCCAGTCAGCCTGTTGGCTTTGCCAAGAGGTTTCAAGGGACGGAGGGACGGTCAGGGAACCCGACCATCCTTCCGGAGATCCTGACCTATCCCGGTTGTATCCTGACCATGCAAACTATGTTTATACACCTTCCTAGCTGTTCTCAAGCAAAAGTAGACAAATATTGCCAAAGGGCTGATGGCAAGGCCCCCATCTTCTCGAGAGCTGACAAGTCGGCAGCCTGCACATGTGGGGATGGGTCAAAAAACTTCAGCCCTGGTCCACCATGTAGCTTGACATTCGTCGGTAGGTCAACTAAGGTATCCTGGTGCCATGACCCACAGCCATTTGGTCTTAGGATGTCTCAGGTGGACCGGATAGTTGGCAGTGTCTCAACAGAGCAGGGCTCAGACAGGTAGACTTTGGTACCAAAAACAAACAAGAACGCTGACACATGTCATGTTGTACATCTTTGAACTTGTTGCTCTTGCCAGAAGAGTGTGGCCGCAATATCTATAGCCACTTTATTTGAGTGCAACAAAAATATGTCTGTCATCAAATTCTGAACTGAACGCTAAAACCCCGACATGACGATGAGACCAGCGGCACGCACATTTCCTCGATCGACACTTCGATCGATGTGTCACGTGAGAAGAAAAAACACGTCGCATGTTCGAGCTCCGAAAACGAAAACCCCAAGGCTTTGCACGCAAAAAAAAAAAACAACAACTGTCAAGCGACGTTTGTTCGGCGACTTCGACGGTCGGCTGATGGTCGGAGAGATGATGCGGTTTTTATGTCTGGTCCGCCTGTGATCGCCACAAGGTTTGGTAGGTCGAAGGGTGGCTTTCAGTTGAACGACCTCTCGATGCGGAATCTCTGTACAGCTCCAAAACTCCCTCTCGACCAAGTCGGCCAGTGATGCATATATGGCCAGCGACGCCACGATGGCGCCGGCGCTTCCCCCCCCTGGCAAACGCCTGGATCGAACTTCCTCAGCGTTCATCCCCCCGACCAAAAACCAAGGAAAAGTTGCAAGAGTCCCAGATCGCAGTCCTCGACAGTGAGATAGACCGCTATAGAATGCCTGAACCTAGGGTGAAGCCTAGGGCCTAGTGTTTCACAACCTTGTGGGTTGTAGATCTTGAACATGGTGAACTGGTCAGTTAACCTGATGTGGTCTTCCCAAAGGATCCTTCTATGTATATATGGCATAGGTTCCGAAAACCTCGGAGTCAGCCCCTCACCAACTGGCGTCCTCCACCAAGCTCGGGGTGCGGCGTGCTCGCTTTGTCACATTGGTGCTGACTACGAGAGAGAGAGAGAGAGAGAGAGAGAACATAAAAAAAACAAAACATAAATAGTTGGGAAAGCCATTTAGGACGTCTCTTTGGGAAGTGCTGGTGTTCCCAAGACCCTACTGCTCAAACTTGCAGGAGTTCGTTGTGTTTTTGTTGCTCCTTCAGTCCTTGCAGAAGACAACATGTTTCTGCACAAACCTATATAGTTCGCCCAATCTGATTCCAGTAGACACTGTAGTAAATTGGATGGTAAATTTACTAGGTCAATGCAACATACAGTATGTAAAATCAAATTCCCAAGTCCTAGCTCTGCGTTCTCAGATTGGTCCATGAGAAAAATCCACCAAATACTGCAAGAGTCTTGGCATGTCATCTGGGAATACTTGCCCGCCGGGTAGAGGTTGAACATTCAAAAGAGATTGAAACCACTCGACCTACATCTTCTGGGCTGAACCGGACCATGTGGCTCTATAAACTTGAAGGGCCCAAACCCTGCCAGTCTTTCCTATACTATAAGCACCCGCCCCCCAAACCCCTCATCCGCGAGATCCGCGCGCATCGAGTCTGTCGCTAGTTGACTGGGCCTCATTACGGAGACTTTCTTTGATCTGCTTGGCACTGGGGTTCTCTTTCAGCCAGCTCTTGATCCTCGCGAGGACGAAAAACATGGACGTTCTCCAAGGGAACGGGGGAGAACATCATGCACATCTGTTGAGCAAGTCTGTTGTTCGGGAATGTACAGTCTCAGAGTTCTGCAAATCAAGGGTTGGACAATATCAGTGGGCGGTTGATGTCTTTTTCTTGTCAAGTGGTTTCAGACTAAATGGCACAAACTGGCACAAACCCAAAAAACATCCTTATAATTTATAGTTATAGTATATATATATGGGGTCCATGTAAACCACCAACCTTGGAGATTGTGCCAATCGAACCTCTGATTCAGCCCACTGCAGAATCGGAGCTCGTCCGAGTTGATCGGAAGCCGTGGATCACCTATAGAGTGTCGCAGTCGGAAGGGCACAGCCTGCACATTCCTACGGAATCACCATTGTGCTTGAGCTGTCTCTACTAAGGAGCATTTGTGTCCCAAGGCAAGAGCTCCGAGAAAGCTCTGTCTGTGTACCAACATCGAGTGGCACGGCGAAGCAACAGACGGCATTTGAGATTCGTTATATACCTTCTTGGTGGTCCGGTTCTTGACAGATTTCCATTTTTGAGCGACGCGCAAAACCTTTTGTGTGTGTTTCTTTATTGCGCACTCTTCCCAACGTTATCTTTTGTTTCTGTGAACCTTTTGGACACACGTAAAAACCAGTCCTAAGCCTAAACCTTATAAACTATAATTATCGTGTCTTTTTCTGAAACCTTATCGTTCCTGAAGGTTTCCCTCATTCTAATTATTTGGTGTTCACTGAAGTGTTAGTGATGCTGCCTTCTTGGCAGTTGCTCATTTCACATTTCCCTTCCAGACGAAATCCATCACCTAAACCGCCTAAACCATCTCCTCATATCTCCTCCAAAACTGGACCAGGTCCACTTTTCACCCCAAATCCTTCACAACTTTGCACTTCTCACCCACTTCCTTCCGGCCACCACCTTGCGCCTTGCGCGAACTCCACCCCTCGCCGCTGTCGCTGCCGCTCCGCTCCGTCCTGCGCCACACCGTGACCCAGCGATGGCCCACGTGCTGGCTGGGCCTGGTGTCGCTGCGCAGCGCCAGGAGAGCGTTCGCGGGGCTCACACTGCGGAGTGCCTGCGGAGCGCTAGTGGGGCGGTCAGGTGGGGTGGATGGAGACTCTGGCCCACGGAGCACCGTTCAACAAGTAAACATATGACAAGGGTGACAGCTCGAAGGGGCAAGCTCGAAGGGGCAAGAGGCAGATGTCCGTCTCCATTTCTAGCATTTCTATGCTGTGATGGGCAAGGAAAAGAAGATCTCGGTCAAATTAGATGATTTTGTTCAACACAAATCACGTGGGTTTGGATCTGTATGTTTGAGTTGTGTTGTATGCTGCATGCTATACATTATGTTGTTTGATGTGCTTTGAATAGACGCATTCATGAGTTGGTTTGTTTTATTGACACTCCGTTCATGCTGCATGCTATACAAATCGGTCTATTGGTGCTTTTTTAATCGAATAAAAAAATGACAAGGGTCACTGGTCCCTGATCTCTCTTTATTAGTTTATCCAAACCAGGCTTCCGATTACAAACATCCAAATCTCCAGTTGGACCCTGCAAACAAAAGCATTGCAACTCCTAATTTCAGCACAGCTCCTTTGCCCCACAAAAACAAAAAACAAGTCTTAAAGTCTTAAAGTACCTCATAAAATGGGTAGAAGTATCGAGTTATTTGTCTAGGCTCACTTCCCATTTTTGAGGCTCATTACTTCAAGTCAGGTCCAGCTACTTCTTCCCTATGTTCCTGAGAAGTAGAGCAAACCGAAACCCGAAAAAGGCGCCCACCGGCCGGTTCCAACGGCCTGGTGCCACGACTGGAAGATTTCACCCCAGCTCTTCCCCACTGCGCCGTCGGCGTTCGTGGCAGCATGAAGACCCTCCAACTGGAAGACTCGCCTCAGAGAGGTCGAACCGCAGTCGAGGGTGTAGGGGGAGTTATGTGTATATATATACATATATTATAGCGCACTGAGCAAGAGTTCATTGGGCAAAGCATGCAAGAACTTCAGGATGTTTGTGAATTCACAAAGTGATTGGGTCGAGTTGTGCGTGTCGGGGTTGGATGGTATCTCTTTTTTTGGTGTGCACTATCACCGAGTGACTTTGGCCCAGGAATTTTGGACCTCGTGAAAAACCAGATCCCACTCCAACGATTCAAAAATCTTTGCAGAGGAAGCTGCCTGGCGTAGTGCTCCCAATAGCCCTCCATAGTAGCCTTCTTTGGAGCAAAGATATCATTCCTAAGCTGATGATGGTCAGAACATTCAAAGCTTTGAAGACACCAAACGGTACTGAATCCAAGATGATTCCCAAACCTAGGCATAATGGATTCTTCCAGTGCGCAAAAGAAGACACAGCACAGAAGTCTGCAGCATTGTAGTTCTTTGTCTCTTCTGAATTAACTGTCCTGTGGAAATCCTTTTGGACGGTCATACAGCAAACTAATCTCCCAGTCTTTTGAAGGGTTGACCTGTAAAGACCGAAACAGGGCCCTAGAGCCGAATCTCTCCACGGCTATGACCAGGCTGGAGTGACCCATGCATATCTTGCTATGTCTAATTCAAGTGCGCGCTCCCGTCTGCCAGACGTTCATTTTCCCTACGCACCAAAAAGATCGTTGCCAGCCAAGCAAGCTGAAACCGGATCCATTCGATTTGTTTTGTGGGTAATTCAACATAATTAGAACTATAAGAAATATATACATGTAGAAATACACTTAGAACACAATAGAACCACTGCTTCGTGTTGGTGTCTACAACTTTCGCTCCTTGCCCCACATACATGTTTCTCATCCATTGCGCTTCCATCAACCCCATGCTTTTGTCAGAGTCACCTGTCAGATCAAACGCCTTCTTCGTCCGTCCGGACTCGTATCGTTCAAAGCAAGGCACCCCTATTCAGGCCCTTCACGCTAAAGAACACCCATCGATGGACAAGGGGGGGTGGGGACCCCTCAGAATCAGGCTAGCCAAGGTCCTTTTTGCCGCCATGCTATCAGTCTGTGCCCGAGGGGTAGCTCCCCATTTCCGAGCTTCTTCGAGACCAGTGTGAGGTGAATGGAGTCGATCGGAGCCAAATGAAGCAAAATCTGCAGCACTTGATTCCTCGAACCGGACGGACGACGCCGAAGGGGGCCGCAAAAAAATGTAGTGGAACATCATGGCCATATCTGACGCCAAAAGGGATGCCAAAAGAACACATAATAAACAACGTAATAAATAATCAATATATATATATACATAATAGAATTCAATATAACTATAAAAATGGCAATGGATAGAAACATATGGGAAACAAAAAAACGCACTGCCACAGTCCCCAGCTCTTAAAAATACAAGAGGGCCTAATAAGACCATCTGTGAACGTCTGGCAGTCTGTTGTGCCTTTGCCGCAGCGAGGCGATAAAACAATAGGGCCCATCCTGTGGATGTAGGGGCCTTCTCCTTGTTTAGAGACCCACTCATGTCGAGATTTTTTGGACGGCGTACCTGCCGGTGAGAGAAAAGCGGGCACCAGGGTTCATGACCAGTTTGTATGTAAAAAAGGGGATGACTCCCAATGGGGTTACTTCTCATACCAGGTTGACCGAAAGCGTAACGTATCTTGTTTGTGATCCAATTAGCTGCTTCTTCTACCTGGTTACCTGGTTGCCATTGCTCACACCTGGCTTCCAATGACCTGATGTTCTTGCTGAGATCAGTCTCCTTCAAAACATCCCGAACTTTGATTCTGATCATGACCACCTGCAAGCAGATGGAGCTCGTTTCTTTGGTAATCCAATTACACAAGAACAAAAGAAACAGTTCCGTGGGGTGTTCTTCCAAACTCCAGTTCCACAAGAAAAGGAACGGTTTTGTAGAACCAATTGACATCCATGGAGTAGTAAGTTTTCTGCTTCTTACGTCTCTCCCTGAACAGAAAAAGGCCTGAGCTGTGAAGGTTTGAGCCTCACGGTGTTTTCGATCGTCCAAGCAGCTCGTTGAGGCTTCCAAAGACCCCTGCCATGGCGATATGGCGGTAGTCTACCGAGAAAAGTTTGCAGCATAAAATGTGTCGTGCAAGTGCTCTGAGTGTCCAGCACTTCTTTTTGTTGAGCCAGCGTATACTCCAGCTTATATATGCTTGGGATTCTAGTATATAGACATGTGATGAAATATTACATAAATATGAAGGAGTTGTTTCCAAGTGGCGCTCTATCCATTAAGTAGGTGGGATAATATCTTCATCTCACTGAGTGTGTAGATGAAACATTCCAAGCTCACTTCAGGCAACTTTGAGGCCGAGGTGTAGCAAAGAGCTGGCTTTCTCTTGCAATCTAATTACGTCTTCATCGTCTTGGCTCCGTGCTGTATCTGCTAGGTCATCCAAGAAGCATCTATCTCTGCTTGTTGTGGCCAAGGCCTTAAAAAACTCAATCCCTACGCTGGAGCCAACATGCGAAAGCCTTTGCTGCGAAGTCTGTGCAATTTCGCAGCAACCCATCGGGAAATACGCTCGAACGGACCTGCTCGGTTTTACTTATTTGTCATGAGTCATAGGGTGAGAGCCAAAGCACCAAGCACCAACGAATCACCGCAATTGCATGATCAACTGATGGTATGGACCATCGGCTTGGTTCCTTTTCCTGAGTGCTCAAGCGAGAACACCTCAACAATGACGTTTCTGCCATCCTTGCGCATCGTTACTGCCATCCTTTCCGAACCCAAGTCCTCTCGTCCAACCCAGAGCCTTCCCTTGGATGTGGTGATCTCGGAAGCTCAGCCAGCTCTCAGGAGCATCCCGTAGATCTCGTCAGATCCACCATGATCAGGTCCGACTGGCCTAGCGCCTGGTCGAACATGGTTGAACACCTGGTAGGTGTTTTGTTCTAAACCATGGAAGTGGCATGACCGCGATCTCCTGGCGGGACACAATCACTCAACCAGTGGACGGGGCATGAAGTCAAGATATCACTCAATCCCACTTGGCTTCCAGCAGAACTGGTTCCAAACATGTTTGATCCATGATGCCTTCGTCCAAACAAAACATCTGCACGTGCCAATCGCATGGCACCAGTCATGCCTCTCATGCCTCAAGTATACCAGCCACGTGCCACATCTTCCGGATCTCAGCCTTACCTAGCCAAGTCCTCACAAATCCTGGCGCCACTTGAAGGGCTCAGAACTCTGAGACACCGTTTTTGGTACATCATGCGATCCGCCTGGCATCGAGGTCGCAATCGATGTTCAATGCAGTCGAGGACAGCAATGCAGTCAGAAAAAGGCCCCACACTCTTAGATGATATTTCAACCCACTGAAGCCTGGAAAGGTTTCAGAGTCCATTTCTGGGGAGGTTGAAACATCACGCCAAACACAAAGCGGCTGCTTTTTCTGCCGCACTTGAACAAAGAAAGGGCTTTGGGTTCACCCTGACTTGGTATACTTCTCGATTTGAGTGCGTGTCATTGCACCCTCAACCTTTCTTCAAAAACTTGGTACACTTCTCTATTTGTGCACCGGCACTCCCCCTTGGCCGAAGCGGCCAATTTCGGTGCCTTCCAACAGACGGCCTCTTTTGGCCTCTGCTCAAAATGGTCATTTTGACCTTCAGCTCAAGCCCCCTTTCACTTCAGGTCTGGGTGTCCTGAAGAGCGTGTAGCCGACCCACGTGTTGGGCAGATAGGAGCTTCTCTTCCCCTGCCTCTTGTCGACCATGATGTACTTCTCCTTCCTCAGGGTCGCCCAAGCAATCGTGAGCCTCCATGGCAGCCACTCTCGCTCGTCCCAGAGATGCGGGTTCTCAAAGTCGAACATCTTCTTCCTCTCCTGGACGTGTTCCCTGATCGTCACCTTCCCCCCGTCAGGCAGGTCCTCGATCGTCAGCCACGTGTCCTTTGCTGCAGTCCTCTTCGGTGGAACTCCCACCTTCCTTCGCAGCGCCGCCGTGAAGAACCCCGGCTGAAAGAGCTCGTCCTGCAGGAAATCCCACACCTCCTCGTTCCATAGGGTCCACTTCCCGAGTGTGATGCCATCGCCGACCGGTGAGATGAAGTTCAATGCCTCACTCCTCATCCCGATTCCCCTGCTTCCGAAGGCCATCATCTCGGACGCCCCGCCCCTGGAGCCTGCTGCTCCTTCGGTCTCGACTTTCTCCTCCGTCTCGCCAGCTCCAATGCCCGGTGCCCCCTTCGATGCCGATGATGTAGTGCCTTCCTCTACCCCTTCAGCTCTCTGTGTTACCGAGGGCTGCGGTGGTCGATCCGAGCCGTGCTCATTGAAGATCACGTGAGTGCCCTCGGAATCCATCATGATCCAAGTCCCTCCGAAGTTCTTCCTAGGGCCTCGCCTCTCCATCATCCGATCCCAGGCCGACATTCCCAGGCCCAGGCTCGCTCTCCTTTTCCTCTCTGCCTCCGGATCATAGTGTCCACGATGCCATAGGTCAGGATCGGGTCCCGGATGACGTTCAGCTGGTTCAGGTCGGCTTGGAGATGGTTGGCCAGTTCCCCTGCCTGCCTCTTCAGCCGATGTCTGCCCAGGGTTTGTTTCCGGAACTTGGTCCCGACCTGGGCTTACCCTCATCGTTCTCAATGAGATCCGGCTCACGGGTGTACTTGTTCCCAGCTCTTGTCTCTGGTAGAGGGGGTCATCAGGTTCTGCCCAAGGGTATGCTTCTTCGTGGGCTGAGTATCCAAAACCTCTGCTTCCCCTCTGAGTTTCGCTCAGGTCCTCCACGTGGTTAACCCCCACCTCCAGGATGCGCTCCACGACCAACTGAGCCACTCGATCACCCTTGTAGACCCTTAGGTCGTCATCAGACCAGTTCCTCAGCAGAACCTTCACTTCGCCCCGGAAGTCCCGGTCCACCACTCCAGCTCCCGTTTCAATGCCTCGAATTGCCAGTGATGATCGTGGGGCTATTCTTCCGTAGGTGCCAGTCGGCAACTCCATGGCAATCCCCGTCTTGATCAGGACGCTCTCGCCAGGTGGAACCAGGGTCTCAATGGTTGAGTACAAGTCTAGTCCCGCTGCCTGGTCTGATCCCCTCGTCGGAAGCCGAGCCTCAGGATTGAGCAACTTCACCTTGATCTCTTCTTTTGGCCTAAACCATCGCTGAACGCCCGAAGCTCCTACCCGGAAGGCAATGTCAACCAGAATGGCGATGGCGGCCGTGATCAGGACAATGATCCACCACTCTCCCGTAGTCTCTGCCACCTCCACCTCCGCAGCCTCCACTCTCCCCATCAGACTGGCCGCTGCAACTAGGAGTCCTAGTCCTCTCGTGAAGCCCGGGTCGATTGTCTTGGACAGCTCAATCTTTTTGACTTCAATCGGCTCTTTCTCTACCCCTTTGAGACCCATAGCCTTCTTGAACCTCCCCAAGGCCGGTCCCGTGAGTTGTTTGGTGAGGCCATCTGCCACAAGGACCTTCCCGGACACGTGATCCAAGGTGATCTCCTTCTCTTTGATCGCCTCGGTGAGTCCGGCTGCTCGGATCCTCAAGTGCCTGGTCCTCCACGATGATGTAGTACCTGTGGCAATCGCTATCGCTGCAGTGGAATCGGAGTGGAACCTCACCCTGGCAGTCTCCCCGGTCACCGCCTCGATCAGAGCCGCGGTCGATCTCCCCGCAATCAGCCCCTCCAGCAGCGCCATCAGCTCTGCCTCTGCAGTCGACAGGGTGACAAAGGGCTGGCGCGTCGTCTGCCACCCTACTGGCGTCCCTCCAACGAAGACTGCAACGCCAGAGATGCTCTTCAACTCCGATGACCCATACGAGGCATCCGTGTAGATGTCAACGTTCTGGATCATGGCCTCCTCACGGCTCTCGAGCTCGGCTCCCCCCGTCCCAGCGTCAGCGGTCATCACCAGGACTTCTTCCACTGTTTCCCGAAGGTGAGCTCGGAGCTGCCTCCCAATCTTGATCACCTGCTTCGGCCTCTTCGATGCCCACTGGGACATGATTCCCACCCCAAGCGACAGGTCAGGACGTGTTCTCCCTGCCACCCACAACAGCTCCCCGGTCTCTTTCTGTGCTCGAAGGACTTGCTCCGCCGTGGGGTGTTCCTCCTCCTCTGGGGTTCGCACCTGGCCCAAGGCGCTTCGCTCCTTCTCGTCATACTCGTTGAGGAGGTTGGTGATGTACGCCTGCTGGTGAATGACATAGTCCCTTCCCCGCTTCTCAATCTCCATTCCCAGGAATCGCACTGGCTCCTGGCCTTCTGCCACCCATGAAGGGTCACCGATCTTCCAGTGTTCTCGGACCTGGTCAATGAACCCTTGGATGATCTTCTCTTCACCCACGATCAGTACGTCATCTACGTACGTCGCCAGCGCTCCCTTGGTGACCCATATCCCCTGAGCCTCCAGCTCCTGGAGCAACCAGATGTCCGCCTGAGGTGTCGACTGCACCCGCACCTGTCTTCCTTCACTTTCCCACTTGAAGGCCTTGATTTTCTCATCTCTATGATCACACCAATCACGAGGGGACGTCACTAACCCGTACAAGGCTTTCTTGACCAACCAAAGCTCATTCGAATCCTGGAGCACCTCCGCCTCCTGGAAGATTCTTGGTGGTTGAACCACTACTGTCCCTCTGTCATGGGCAGCAGGTGCGTTGAGGAACGCCGTCTTGACGTCAATGGTGGCGAGGGCCCACTGGTTGATCGATGCCATCTTGATCAGCATCCTCACCTCAATCCCACTAGCTCCTGATGCGAAAGTGGACTCAGAGCTCTTGGCATTCATGAAGTTGCCACATGCGACTCCTCGACACTTGTGTCTTCCAGTTCCCGCCTTCCGGCTAAAAATAGCCTTGGCCGGGACAAGATCAAAGTCCTTCCCCAGAGACTTGGCCTCCTCCTTCAACTGATTTGCCTGCCTCTGGTCGATGGCTTCAACGGCTTCGGACTCCTTGATCAGGGCGTTGTATTCCTCAAGCATCGACGGTCTCCACTCTTTCAAGTGCTTCCGAACTTCAGCCAGCCCTACCATCCTGGTCTGCAGGAACTCCTGTTGGTCTCCCACTGCCTGTTCGGCCTCCGCCAACTGTTGTGCCTCTTCCTGTCGCCC